ACAGTCTGACGTTGGTTTTCTTTATCGTATGTAGACATTTTCAAGCCAAATTGTTCAGAGATTTACAAAGTAAACACAATGCAAAACGCGTACATTTATTGTTTGGTAAACAAGCTTTTATTTCAATCAAAATTGGGTAAGTTATACGCGTTTGAATATCACGGATTTTTTTGCAATTTTTTTTGCACACCACTGTATGTCCGCGTAAATTTCACGACAAGTATGCCGCCGTCCTCTGTTTGCGCGCGCCAAAGCGGTTTCTTGCAGTCATCTGTGAGTGGTGAATGATAAGTGAAGGTATGGTTCACGTTGCTAGCGTCTTTGTAAGAGCGATGATAGGGGAAAAATCTCTGTTCATCCGACAGCGAGGTCATGTCCAAAGCACCGTAAAATTCGTCGAGTCGATCTAGAGCACGTTGCAGTGCTTCAAATATACGAGCAATACGACCCAGTTGGTCCCCGTCTCGTGGTTTAACCAATAGACTGACGAAATCTGTCAGTGGCTCTACAATAACTACGTTGGTGTAGACCCCTCCGAGAACACAAAGCCATGGCCCAGCCATGGCGAGGATAAACGAAGGGCAGCAACACCGTTCCCGAACTGCGCTCGTCTATTAGAAAAGACCGAAACATATGAATTGGCGCAGTACAAATGCAATTAAAACGAAAAACGTACCCTATCCTGCGACCAATATCCTTGATAATAGAGTGCTCCCTGCAGAGTGGGATCACAGCCACCTTCGCCAATCTCCCATTTCATTTCCATAATTAACCGATATGCAAAGAACTTTTTAGCGAGGACAGTCGTCAACACACCGTCTGAGCAAGTATTTTTTTTTTCCCATAAGTTGTTGTTTGTATTGGCCCCAACAGCGTTGCTAGTTTGTCGTGAACAGCTTCTAGGCGATCATCTTCACTGTCGTACAATTCTGACGCTGTGAACATAAAGTCCTCGGTCCATTTGTAATGATCAGCAGTCATTACCAGGTTTTCGTCATTCAATTCTTGAATAAACCTGCCAAAGATTTCATTATAGAGAGCAATTGGCGGACCAGTACGCTCAAATGGTCTGCCATTGTAAACTGTTGGATCTTTCTGTTGTTTCTCACGAAATTCTTTAGGTTTTGCACCACTTGATGGACCACCTACACTTTGTCCAGCTCGAACGGTCCGCTTATAGTCTAGTTAAAAGGAAAATCACACAACATAATGGCTTTATCAGTTCTGTAGAAATTACTTCAGAATACTAACCATCGTCCAGTTTCCGCCGTTTGACTTGGGCACTGTCGGCGCTACTCGAAACCATGACTACGCGCGAGAGAAAAATTAATTTTGCATATTTTCTATGCTCTACTCTACGCCCAACGCCGAGTCACGAAGTCGTTACATGGCAGAATTTCCTGCGTCTGTTGGTCATTCTTCCTCCGCACGTCATCAAATGCCTGAGCCCATACGAATTTTTCCTTGCCTGCTGTCTCCACGGCATCCTTCAGCCTCTTCTCTTCTTTCTCCAGCCTATGCCGCTCTCTGTCTTCCTTATTGGTAATGGTTCCAGCTCGAAACTTTCTCCTCAAGTCGTTCAGCCATTGTCCCTCCAATTCCGCGCTCTGAAACGCCTTTAACTCGTCCTCCGCCTTCTGTAGTCGCACCTCCGCCTTCCCCAACAGTTCTCGTGCTTCTTCAACGCTTGTCATTTTGTTTCCTCGTTTTTGTTTTCGATGGGGAAGATCTGCTGCGCGGTTTTTTAACTACCCCAAGACACCAGAATCGGTTACAGTAACGTGACCATATGTACGACATCTTCAGCCAGTCATCAGCTTTGAAATATTGTGTCGCATGTGAGATTTTGGTGTCGCACACTGCTTTCTCTAGATCACCAGAATCGGTTACAGTAACGTGACCATCCGTACGACATCTTCAGCCAGTCATCAGCTTTGAAATATTGTCGCACACTGCTTTCTCTATTTAGAACTGAGCTGCGTTCACATTTCCTAATAGAGAAACGTTTAAGGAGTAAGTATAAAATATATATTGTTTAATTGATTTTGTATAATAAAAGTGTTGCGGAAGGCTGATACCTTGGCTTTTTGAGCGTCAACCCCCGTTCCCCAAGTGGATCGAAAGTATGTTTACTATCAAGCGATCAACGAGATCGAATCTCTCTACTCTGATTGGTCTAAATCTAAATTCTTTTTTTTCGATCTTTCCTTTCAAAGACATATCACAATTTAAAATGACCAACATTGTGCTTGTATCGCAAACTAATCGGAAGACGGAGTTTGTGAAATACTAAAGTTGACGTTAAACATTAAATATTAAAGTCTTTGTCAATGTACACTAAGCGTTTTCCCGATTAAGAATCTAAGTAACAATTATCAATACAATTAAAAATTTAGTACAACGATAGGTTGTCCGTTCTTTGATTTTAATGTATGTAACAAAGATCATCGAACATATCATTACACAATGAATGCTTTATGCGAAGAAAATTTGATGTGTCAAATTTCTTAGTAAACAAAGTATTAAGCAATTCGGTACAAAGAAATGCAGCACTAGTTGTCATAATTATCTTTGTAATTGGCAGTATACACGTTCTATTACAATTTAGCGTTAACAAAGATTGGTAACATTGCTACGCTGTCTTTGTAATGTTACTTTCTTTATGTTGATTAAGATATAAAAAGGTTATATTCACACCAGCCTCTGATCTGTCTTCAGAAAGAACAACTTTTAAAGATTATAATCTTTTTTCATTTCTTTTCGTAATAACCCTCTTCTTTAAAAATCTTTCCTATAAAGATAATAAAATTTTATTCAAATGGAGCAACAAAATAAGACTTGCACTCGCTGCTATGGTACCAAAAATATTAGGCATTTCCAAACAGCTGACGGAAAGTTAAGAAGTACTTGTGCGCAGTGTCGAGAATCTATATCTGCGAAAAAGAGGCGATCAGATTCCCAACTAGATTCAGACTTTGGGGAACTGGAAAAATTCGAATTAAAACAGAAAATTAAGGATGGTTTGAAAGACGAGAATAACGAATTTTACGAAAATAATTCTCAAGGAATGCGATTTAAATGTGTGCTTAAAATGGAAAAATTTGAAGACACTCTAGCAATGACAAACGGCATTGCAAAATATATTGAAGGCTGTGACGGATATTCTTACATGTAAGTACAAGTCGTTTTTTTTTATTTACTTCATATCTATCATCCCCTCATTTTATTAATTTGTTTTTATTTTTAGTTTTCATAAAAAATATGCATCGACCTCAAATGCAAACATTACCACTTTTTATTACCATTGTTCTCAGTCTGAGATCTTTAGCAAAAAGTCAAAAAAGTCTGAAGAAACTGAAAAACAACGTGACAGAAAACCATGACTCGATTCAAATGCAATGGCAATCTGAACATTAAAATTGATGAAGCCTCGAAAAAAGTATCTCTCGAATTTACGCATGATATTCTTCACCCTCGTCCTGAGAGATGTGGTGTAACAAATGAGATAAAAGTGGAGATTGGTCAACAACTACATTTGGCACTGAAAGATATCTTTACATCTTTGCAGATGAGTTATCCGGACCTCACACAAAAACAAGTGCACTATTGGTGGACACAACATATGCAAGCACAATACACAAAAGATAGTGAACAACTTACTTCCGCCAAAATTCTTTTACAAGAAGCTGGATTTAACATCTTGATTTATGACGATGATGGGAGTCAAGTATATAGGGTTTCTAACAGGTTTTTTCGATGGCATGAAAGCCAATACTGAGATTGTTTGTGATGCAACTTGTAAGTAAATATAATTATAACAAATTAATACATTAATATTTGATATGTACTAAATAATAATAATAATTGTTTTGTAGATAAAACAAATGCGCTAGGTTTCGAACTATATGCCATTCTTGGACAAATTAATGGAGGTGGATATCCAATGGCATATTTATTTTTGGATAATACAAAAAAGATAATGGTGTTCGAACAGCAATTCTTACTGAGTTTTTTAAAGCACTACATGATAATGGGTTGCACAGTCCAGACTTTTTTCTAACTGATAAAGATTTATCACAAATTAATGCCGCATATCAGGTCTAGCCTTCGATAAAAATTCAACTTTGTCTCTGACATTTAAAAAGAGCAGTAGCAAAAAGGCTTGCTGATAGTTCAGTTTCCAAAATAAACACCTATAATGCTGAGCTTGCCAAGGAATTAGTAAATTTCATCGACTTGGATTTTCACCCTTTCCCCAAAGACCATAACACAGGTGTTCGGTCAAGTGAAAATTGCGATATTTGCTCTGCCCAAAGGAACTTCGAGAAACAATTGTGGAAAAAATGGCATATCATTTTCACCTTTACCCTCTGATACCAAATGATGCAAATCAATTCCTAATGGACAATGAAATCTGACTTTTGTCTGTGCGCGAAATGTACGAGTTTTGTGTCCAAAATGATCTTAAAAATGTATGGGCTTATTTATGGACGAACTGGTACCAAAAAACTCATTGAGTTTTGTGGGCTCGAGCAGCTCATTCTCAAAAATTTTACTTATTTAAGACGACAATGCTAGTTGAGGCCCATTGGAAGGTCATTAAAAGAGATTTTTTACCGAAAATTTTCCGTCCTCGATTGGATTTGGTAGTATTTATTATTACAAACCGCCTTCTACCACATCACCAACGACGATATCATCAAATCGTAACAGGTCGGGAAACCATCTCTTGGCGAAAGGACTTTAAGAAAGAGTGGAAAGTTCTCTCAAAGCGGGACAGGCAAACGGCTCAACCCCATGTAACAGATGTAACCAGATGGATATGTAGCTGTCGGGCGTTCTTATTAAGTCGCTGGCCAATCTGTTATCATTTGGTTCTCAGAACACCAAATTTAAAATCGAATTTAGACTTCTTTACGACGGTAATTCGCCAAGAAGTTTATCCATTTTTGAAGCATCCGCTTTTACAAAACGACGATAATGATAATGACAATAATTATGGAGGTAAATATATACGATTATTTATTATTGTTATTCCGCAATATTTTTTTTGTCATGCTAATACAAATTAATTCAAATAGGTGCCATATCAATGCACAGTTTTAGTCGTCTAAGCTTCGAAAATAATGAAGCTGTGAGTATTGAAGAGGGTAAAAAACGCTTTGAAGACGTTAAGCAGCATATTGAAAAATTGCGGCAAATTATTGATGAGCAGTGTGATGCGGGAAATTACATATGGATAAAGGCGGTAAACAAATGTTTTAATGGAACTCGTAAACTAGTCGATGATGTAGAAAAGTATAGACGACGCAACACTAATCCCCGAACATGGGCCGACCATAATGCAAATACCTTATTTTTAGAATAATTCGTGAATACATTATTAGTATATATTATAGTATTATTATTATTATTATTATTATTATGTAATAGTAAAGCTCAAATTACGATTGAAAAAAAGAATTTAGATTTAGACCAATCAGAGTAGAGAGATTCGATCTCTCGTTGATCGCTTGATAGTAAACATACTTTCAATCCACTTGGGGAACGGGGGTTGACGCTCAAAAAGCCAAGGTATCAGCCTTCCGCAATACTTTTATTATACAAAATCTATTAAACAATATTATTTTATACTTACTCATTAAACGTTTTTCTATTAGGAAATGTAAACGCAGCTCAGTTCTAAATAGAGAAAGCAGTGTGCGACACCAAAATCTCACATGCGACACCCTATTTCAAAGCTGATGACTGGCTGAAGATGTCGTACGGATGGTCACGTTACTGTAACCGATTCTGGTGATCTTGGGGTAGTTTATGATTTTCTTCTCTTAATATTAACACTTGACATTTTTGTACTGATAGAACTAATGTTGTATTAGTATGCTAGTCATTCAACATGGTACTAACATCTGTAATACAGCTATGAGATTTAGCTTTTTACTAGTTATAGTGGTTTATATTTACATCTTTTTTGTAAAGCATAGCAGGGACAATTGCTGCACAAATAAGTTCATGTGATGGTACACTTGATCTGACAGGTTGATTTTCATAAATATATTAATATGGCCATGCTAATGTACTATAGTGAGTATCTTGATCTCATGGCAGATGAAGCAATTTTGAGATGGCTTTTACTTGGTGCCTGGCATACAAGCATGGTAATGGTAATAGGTAATGGCAGCTACTCATGGGATTTTCAATTGGCATCAATGCTAAGAGTGTGTTTTTTTGATAAATTGGAGAAAGTCACAGACTATTCAGCTACTTGCCATGTGTTAGAACTTATGTGGGTTGCAAAAAGAACATTAAGCCAGGGGACATTAGTTCAGCAGAAAATCCAGTTCTATATGTCTGGTACCTCTTTATCTTCTTTGTCTGGACTGGCTTCTGGGTCAGTCATAAAATTGGAATAAGGCTAAGCAATTATAACATACAAATAGACAATTTGAGTGCTTTTGCTCCTCTATTTGCTGTTGCTGGCAGGAGTAATTATGCACAATCTACCATACACTTCCACTCATATCTGTATTGAAAACCTGGTCTTCAGACAATTTTGCCATATTAATATGTTGCTTCTGTTAATCTAATACTAATAATAACTGAGAAGGACACTATTTTGGGTTTGATAAGGCACTTAAACAATTTAAATTTGGAGTTCTGCATGTCAAGCAGAGTTTAAGTAGGTCAATAGGCA